ATAATCAGGATAACTAAGAACAATTACAATGATTACAATTAACATTTATTGAGCGCTTACTATGATACAATAAGGCACTGTTTTAAATGGTTTACATGTACCAACACATTTAATCCTTACACCACCTAGCCTCCCAGCCAGAAATAAAGAAGTAAATATCATTTGCTTCTTCCTTTGAAAACAAGCATTGGGGAGAAAGCATTCATGCTGGCAGACAGACACCGACCCAGCCTGGGTCATGGGTGATTTCGGGGAACCCAAACGAGGAGGCCACCCACTAGTTGGGGACTCTCCCAAATTTTCCAGTTTATTAACAGTCCTTCTCTCCTCCCATGGGATCAGGTTCAGCACACACGTAGGTGCCCTAATGATGTCTAAGGCCCTGGCCTCGGTTTCCTCACCACGCAGAAGCCGGTTGTGTTTGCACTGGTCTTCCAGTGAGTCAGCTTTTGTCCCCAGGACCACGCTCCACACCAAGGCTAGCCTGGGGCAAGCGTGCTACCCTCAAAATGCCGCAAGTGCTCAGGACCAAAGGGTACTGTCTCAGAATCCCACTGGAGTGTTAGGGAAGCAGCCTTTGGGGTCTCTGGGGTCTGGCAAGACATCAGAAGAGCACAGAGAGTTCAAGGGATAGCAGAGTTGGGAAATATTTTGGGAATCCTGACACCAGTGGATAACAGACACCTATTCTGTGGCTTGGGAAAGATGCAAAAGGCTCCATTGACGATGGTGACATATTTTGTTAAAGATTATTTAATCCCAGAAGAAGCAGAGGCTGGCTTAGAAAAGCACAGACCCTGACACCAGGCTGACTGAGTTCAAAGCCTTGCTCTGAACCTACTGGCTGGTGGCCCTAGGCGAATCATGTCACCTTCCCCCAACTGAAAAAGTGGGAACAGCAGAAGCCCTTACTCATAAACTGCTTTGAGAATTAAGTACTTCACATAGAGTTCACTAAATGGCAACTATTACTATTATTATCATTATCACATCGAACTTTGAACAAGGAGGAGAAAACAATGCCGGCATAGTTTCCCATCTATATAAACAGGGAGGGAACACTTGCTATGGGGTTCTACATCTGGCCTTAAGCTCAGATTAAACTGTCACCATGTTAGGGAGCTGCAAACGAAGGAAATAAAATGGAAAGAATGATCCTTTCCATCAAGGAGCAGGGAAGCCACAGCCAGGTACAAATAAATCATAAAAACATACTAAAGTCAGAGCAACTAGGCCCGGCCTCAGCCCCTCAAGGAGAGATTTCACAAATAGCCATGTAGGCTCCAGAAACCAGTCTTCAAATCCAAAAACTAGCAAAATGGAAAACTGTGAGAAGCCACTTTGATTCAGCAGTGATTTCGCAAACAGGAAAAGGTGGTGACAGTGATGATGGTGACAACAGCTGCCATTTTGGGGGCATGTAATATGTGCCAGTTGCCAGGCAAAGCTGCACACCCTTGCAGGAGGTATTTTTAGGCACCACTGCATGGACGACAAAATCAAAGCTCAGACAGGGGAGGCCACATATCTGAAGCCACACAGCTGGGAGGAGGCGGAATCAGGATTTTGTGTGACCTCGAGGCCTGTGTTCCGTGATGCGTGGCTTCACATTACTCACTTTGGTTCGTCCACATCTAGCCTACGGCTGGCACGAAGTAGGTGCTCAGTAACTGTTTGGTGAATGAATAGAGGAACACAGGAAAGTGCAAGGTCGGGTGCCCCTGTGTCATACACATCTCCCCAGAGAACAAAGCACCCCTCCAAGCCCATCTATACAATCTGCCCCAAATTGCCCCCACGTGTGCATCCATGGGCTCATTCACTCACTGACGATGCTGTGCCCACCACATGGTCAGGAACCATGCCAGGCAGGCATCAAAGGCCAAGCCATTGGGCCCAACTAGGGCTTTAGCCACAGCAGCCAGACAGTGGCGGGTTCAGGTGGCACCATGCAATATATTACACCATAATTGTCATCAATTTTCTCTCAGCAGCAGCTCATGCAGTGGGTGCGGCCAGATTCTGTAAGGCCATGCCAATTAATTCTTCAAGAGCCTTAACGGGCTTTAAATTCATTGTAATTTGCTTTTGAGGACAAATGATAAATCCCACTCGACAGCCTTTGCACATCTTCCCCTGCCACACAAATACACACACCTCCACAGGGGACTGGGCCACCTGTGTGGAACTCTCCTCAGGCCTCTGGCTGGGTCCAATCCATCAGAACTATGCTGTCATCTTGCCACTGTGCTTAGTGGGTGGATGTCCCATGCATCATCATAATTCAAAGGAAACTGACAACAGGGGAGGAAGAAAATCAGATGGGTCTGTGGCGGTGGGGAGAGGTGAGGGCTGACCTGGATAACGGCAGCATCTGACTGGAGCCTGGGGCTGGCCAGCTGTGCCAGGGCTTTCAGACACCCACATTCCCAGGCACCTCTGTGAAGCACATTATCATTTCCTTTCACCAAGGCGGAGGCCGAGGCTTAGAGGGGTGTGGCAACTTGCATAAACTCACAGGGCTGAGCTGGGATTTGAAACAAAGTCTGTTTGCCTCTCAGAGTGCCCTGGACTCGCCTGGCAAACCATGATGCCATGTTCTACAGAGTCCAGCCAGATAACACCCATACACACACACACACACACACACACACACACACGCACACACAGGCACATGCACACACACATACATACTGAGCTCCCGTAGCCCATGGAGCCCTGTTCGAACCCTTCCAGAAACACCTATTTGCCCATTCATTTCACTGTTTGTGCAGATGTCAGTCCTGTCCATGTTTTTGAACTGAAGCTGTGTAAATATTAGCACAACTAGTTCATAGCCGACTTCATTGAGCAAAAGCCTGAAAATCCTGGCAAGGCTGGCAGGGGCCCTCCAGAGGCCCTCCATCAGAACGTCTGGGGTCTATTTCAGGCTCCCCTTGTAATATTCTGCTCAGCTCACTGGATTCCCTTCCTTACTGTACCCATTTAGAAAGGGCGGGTAGGGAGAGACCTGGGTTGTCTGGGGGCCCAAAGGGCAAAGCATCGGGTGCTGCAAACGCATGCTGTTAGAGAAGCCTATGCTTACAGGACAGTGTGCTGTACTGGGAGAGGTTGTCTTGGACTATTATAGACTGGGGGTGGGGGTGGGAGTGGAGGTGGGGGTGGGGTGTGTGTCTCCGGAGGTCTCTGGAGTATGCCAGGTCCTTTCGGAGTTTAGAGGGGGGGAGGTGGCTAGCTGGAAGGACTCTGGATGGGGGCAAACTGGCCAGTGTAAGGAGCTCCCAGCTCTCTTGGCTGAGCCTCTGCAGGCCAAGCTTCCTTCAGAACCACATCCCAGGCACTCGGGAGCAAATGTAACCCACCTGCTCTGAGGCTGAAGGGTGAACTACCACGTCCCCAGTGCCTAGAGCAGGGACTGTACACAGCAGGCACTCTCAATTAATCATGGAGCCTCGGTGCTGGTGAGACCGAACACTCAACCTCAGTTTTCTCTCCTGCAATATGGGATTGCCAGTACCACAAAGACAAGAATGCAAACACAGTACTGGATGGGACAGCTGCATAAGGCAGAGGCACTTGTGGGGTGTGCATATCATGACCTTCATTCTCAGACTGATCCACTGATTCCAGACAGCTGGCCCTACAGCTGCAGCTTGCTCAGCCTCCACCCCAGATGCAAAGAGCCACTGGTCCTTGGGAACCCCACCCCCACAACCCTCCAAGATGCTTCATGCCCAGAGTTCCAGGCCCCTGGGGTGAGGAGGGGGCAGAGGGGAACACACGCATGTTCTTAGTGCAACTACCAGATATAGGCTGCAGAATTTTTGAACTCAAAGATCAAATGGTTGCAGGTGGGCCTCCCCCCAGGCGACCTGACACAAGCCAAACCAGCTTGTCAACAAATCCTCTCCACCCCATAGCCCTGCTCCTCCAAGGGGCCTGCAGACAGCTCAGGACAGCTGTGCTGGCGAGCAGAGCCAGGAAATCGATATTCCCAGCACATACACACTCTCCTTCTCTCCATAAATATCGGCCCTTGGATGCTCAGACAGCCACCCACAGGCTGGAAACAGAAGAGGGCCGGTCTCTGGAACACATGCACCCCTCCCTCCCCAGACTCCATTCCTGACTATACCAGGTGTATATAAACAAACACCCCAACCCCACCAGCAGCCCCTTCACAGCCACAACAGTAGCCACACAGAACTCAGCCTCCCTGGCTGCAGGTGACCACCTGAGTGCACTTCCAGGTAGCAGCGCCGGGGAGCACACCTGGACCACCTGCGCACAGCCCCTCAGCATCTCCGCATCGCATACACTCGCCAGGGGTCTCCCCTGACAGAGAAGACAGGTAATCCCAGACACAGGCCTAAGGTCTCCCACAAACAGGCCGGTAGGAGGGCTCCCTGTCATCCTTTGGCCCACCTACAACCAGACACAATCACCAGGCCTGCTGGCCATGCCCCCTCCCACAAACTCCTGACCACTTGCTCTCGCACCAGATACCAACTCCCATCGGTTTCTCCCACATAAACTCACCCACACACAATCTCCCATCCCAAGTGTGAACACACACACACTCTCCTTTACTGACAGCATCTCTTTTCTCACACACACAGATTCAGGTCCTGTGTATGGTTGACACACACACTAATACAGACACACTCCATCCTGTCTGCTTCCTCCCTCTCTCACTCAGGCACCCATCCTGACAGTCTCACTCATTCTCACACACCCATATTCTCTACAGCCTCTCCTCCGGCACACACTTACACTTACATCCCCAGCAGTCTCTTAAACCATCAAACAACATAACACAGCGCCAGGCTCTCCCACAAACCCACAATATACTGCATGCAAGTGTGCAGTGTCTGGGGTGCTGCTGGCACCCCCATGCCACCCCGGGCCCCTCCCCGCCAGCCGATCAGCATTCAGCCCCTCCCCAACGCCCTCTTGCCCAAGCCCCCGCGCCCACCCCCGGACCTTCCCGGAGCCCTTACCCGCAGTCAAGCTCCAGCTCCAGCAAGGACTGGGTCCGCTCCGAGTTGCAGTGTAGGCACCACATGGTGGCTGCAGCGGGAGCTGACCGGTCCGGGCGCCTGGGACCCAGGCCCAGCGGAGCACCGCCTACTCCCGCCAGGGGAGGCAGGATCCGAGGGCCGACACCCGACCACCAGGAGACCTGACCAACCGCCACGCGACCACCTTGAATGACCACCAGTGCCTGCCAGTTCCTGCTGCTTCCGGCCCCAAGACCGAGCCCCAGGTCAGCCGAGCCGAACCCCTCCTCCGCCGGGCGCAACGCTAGGCCCGGCCGGAGGAATGTGCCCCGGGAGGGGGCGGGGCCGGGAGGCGGGGCCGCGGGGGTAGCAGAGGGGGCGGGGCGGAAAGGGCGGGGCTAGCCGAGCAGCGGGACTTGGTGGGTGACGAGCGCAGGGTCGGGATTCTCAGGTTACAGCCTCGCTTATTCCTGCAAACTAGGCCATTTTCTGGGAGGACTGCGCGCTTCTCCAACACAGATGCCCCCGATATCCATATCTAACCTCCTCAACGTGCACAACAAATACAAAACCCCAAACCAGCAAACTGTAGCCTTCTCTAATGAAGGAGCCAATCCTGACTTTGGCCTCGGTTTATAAAACTGGGCCTTTGCTGTTCCGGCTGGTGTAATTCTGAGGCTCTGATGCTCCTGCCCCAGAGAAAGCAGTGGGTCCCATCCTGAGGCTGGGGACACCCTTTTGGGGACTTTTTGGTGAGGATCTAAGGGAAGCGGCTTCTTTCTCTCTAAGCCCTTCCCTCACTCAGAGACAATTTTCAGACCCCCCTCGCAGGCTTAAAGAAATACTAATTAGTACTTTAGAGCTCTTTACTGATATTTAATCCTCAAGACAACATTGTGATGTAGGTGGAGTTATTACTGGCCCCATTTTTCAGAAGAGTAAACTGAGGCTCAGTTTAACTGGGTTAACTAAGAGACTTTCCCTCACCTTCTCTCTCCTCTCCCAGTCTGCTCAGCTCTCCCTACTATAAGCAATCATCTCTTGCTGTTCTCAATTTGCATATTTACTTGTTTCTTATCTGTCCTTGGGCTTTGTGAAGGCAGGCACAGTGCCCAGCACACACACTTGTGGAATGACCAAATGTGTTCAGGAGACATCAAGCATATACAGATACAATAAAAACCCCACCTGTCCTGGGCTGCCCTGCAAGTGGACCTGCAAGTCCATCTCCTGGAGGGCCAGGCAGCTGGCTGTTCTGCGGGAGTCAGGAAGCTGTAGGAAGCCACTAAGGCAGGGACACCGGCTTGTGCCCTTTTGAATCTTTCATTTGGAGGGGGTGGTGCAAAGGGCCTGGTGAGTGTTATTCCCAGATGGGGAAACTGGGCTGGGGTGGGGGGCAGTGAAGGAAGAGGACTGGGCTGGCCCAGCTTGTCCCGTGGGAAAGGGCAGTCTGGAGAGCCAATTTAGTGCACCAGGGAATCCAGGCAAGAGGCTGAGCAGGAACCCAGTACTGTCCTCACTGCCTATTTCCACATTCTTCCTCTTCACTTCTGATGTTTTCTTTGTTACATAATAAAGACACTGAATGGGAGAAAGTATTTGCAAGTCATGAATCTGATAAGGGTCTAGTATAAGTACTATATAAAGAACGCTTACAACTCAATAATAAAAAGGCAAATAACTCAATTTAAAAATAGGCAAAGGATCCGAATAGACATTTCTCCAAAGAAGACATATGAATGGCCACTAACACATGAAAAGATGTTCAACGTCGCTTGACATCAGGGAAGCACAGATCAAAACAATGAAGTATCACCTCTTACCCACTAAGATGGCCATGATCAAGGAGATGGACAAAAGCACCTACACATGGAGTTCTGGAATGAGAAGACCACTGAGCCACTAAGTGCAAAGACTAGCCTCACATCCTGCACCCTGGTTGGGAGGTGGGG